TGAAGCTCCTTATTGAGGCTAGGATGACATCATACTACATAGGGTCTGTTATATATGACACTGTCAGAGACTGACAAAATTAGCCTAATTAGGCTCTGCTAAAGGCTTGAGTTTAGGAATTCTAGTAAAGTTTGAAATCAAACTCTGTACGTGCCTGCAGGTTGCAGACTACGGATGGTGAATGACTGGGAGATGTCAGTGTCTTGCTTTCGTAAAACTCTAATATCACAAATGTTAATAGAATAATCGTTTTTAACTTTGAACCGACGTTATTGCCTTTTTGTAAATATTATGTTACATGTATATAATTCTTTATCTTTTTATTTAGTGTAAAATACGAAAGCTTTGTATTTAATCACATGACATATTTTAGCCTAAATGTAGAATAGCTTGTAGCTTAAGTTTGTATTCAATTGTTATTCATACTTATACATTACATTCTCATTCATTGCTGTGATACTATTGTGTGTAAGTGGTACCAGACACGATAAGCATTAAATGCTATTTTCTGGTCCCATTTATCCTTTCAATGTTAAACGTTCACAATTCTCGCTACCCTAAATAGGTACGAAAATCTCGAAATTCGCGAGACGAGGTAATTTTCACTCTCTCGGGTCGTCACTACAACTTCCGGTATAGAGTCCCATCCCGCTGGCGATAGCGCCTGTGTTCGCTGTGCAGAGTTTTCACGCACGCTAAAATCGATGCCAATCAGTGTAATTTGTACAGATTATAATATATGCATTAAATTTAGTTTGTTTTTATTCAATTTGAATATACAATAAAAAGCAAAAAATAGTTTACAGGAAAGATTTTATTTTTATTCATGTTTTTTTTCTGTTAATCTAAAAGTTAAAAAAAAATAATTGTCTTAAAATTGTGCATGTAGCGACCAGCGTCACAATCACGAGCAGACGATACAGTAAACAGTGTAGAGACAACACTCAGTTCATGTATTTCTCGTCGACCACAAAATGGATAAAAAAAACAGTTTCGGAACTTAAAAAAATCTTAACGGACAGAGGAATACCATGCAATGGAAAGCTTCGGGCAGAATTAGTGACTTTAGCACAAAAGGCCGTTAAACTCTACCGTGAAAGAGAGGGTTGTGATCACGAACTTTCCGAGCGAAAGCGACGCTGTGTTGTTGTGGAGGACGGCACAGGAAGCTGTAATGTCGAAAAGCTATCCCATAATGCAATGCGCGTTTTCAGGATTTTCCCCGGATCTCGGCAGAATCGCTATTTGGGGTAGCGAGAATTGATTGTTATACTAACGTGCTTTTTGTTTGGATAATAAAGCTTCAAACTCAAACTCAAACTCAGATAGAAATGTAGATATAAAGATAAATAAATAATACAATAGATAAAGGGATGAACTGAAAGAGAGGGATAGATAGATAAATAGTTGGATACACAGATATATAGATAGATGGATGGAAAGATAGAAAGAGGGATATACAGACAGACAGATAGATAGATAGATAGATTTGATGTATAGATATATAAACAGATAAATGGATGGATGGATACATAAATAGTAACGTTAAGAAGAAATAATGAAATATTTGTTGGAAAAACAAAACATTCATTTTCGGCTTAAATCTTTTGTCCAGTAAAGACACATTTATTAAATCCAATGTTCTTCGAAACCTGACAAAGGGGTACAAGAGTTGCTAAGAGCACACGGAAAACAACGAGGATAAGCGTATTATAAAAGATGACGAAGCAATGTAAAGACTGGGTATTGCAAATGAAAAGGGAGGGAGAAGTACTAGAACGACAAAACAAAGAAAACGCATAAAAAGGCGTGGAAGAAAAGGAAAAGAAGAACGGAAAATGGAACGCGAGAGAGAAGAGACTAGAATAGAGAGGAAGAAAGAGAGAGAGAGAGACAGATAGAAAGCAATAATTAGTAAATACACTATATATGTATAATGCTTATAATGCTGTTATGCATTTGAAATAGTTTGAGATGTAAAAATGGAAAGTTGCGATTCGCCTGGCGTCGTAATAGTCCTGCGAACGCTCCTGCGTGGACTGATACGTGTGACGTCCATTCATGGCAGTACATTAAAGGGAAGTCGATCGTAGCAATCCACATTGTCGTTGTGGAAATCTAAAAGTCCCTAATTTCAGGTTCATGACATCTTCGGGTGGCAGCAAGTGGAGATCGCATTGCTTTGGTTTGGTAGAGATGATCAAAATCGAATAGGCCAGATTCTGTAACACAAATCGTAAATAACGTGTGCATGGTACAGTCACACACAGGCGCGCCGGAAGCAGTTTGGGATGGGGGGGGGGAGGCAAACAATCCAAGGGGCTCACCAGGGGCAGTGACGTAATGAGCAAAAACGTTTGGAAGGGAGGGGGGCAGAAGAAAAATCTCTTACACGTTACATGCCTGCCTCGCGTAACGTTTTTCAAAGTATTCAGAGTATTAACGATCAGGTAGAGCGTAAATTGGCGTGGGGTCCAGGGCCTGAGCCCCGGCAAGGGGTCAAGGGGCCGAGCCCCCGGAAGCTCAGAGTTTTTAGGCATTAAATTACAGTCAGATAAGCATATTTAGATACTTTATTTGTGTAACTGGGGGGTCACTATTTGGCGGAGAGTCCAGGGAGCAGAGCCCCCGAAAGCTTAGTGGGTTTAGGTATTTAATTACGGTTAGATGAGCATCCAGGGGTCCTCTTTAAGGCCATTGATGTAGTCCAGGGGGCAGAGCCCCCAAAAGCTCAGAGGTTTAAATATTTAACTACGGTCAATTGAGCATCCAGGGGCCTCATTTGGGCTCTTGGTGGGGTCCAGGGGGCAGACCCCCTGAAGATCTTGTATTTTAGGTCTTTAATGGCGGTCATATGAGCATCCAGGGGACCGCCTTAGGGCCCTTGGAGGGGTCTTGGAGCGGAGCCCCCCCCCCGTAAGCTTTGGGGTTTTAGGCATTTAATTACGGTCAAATGAGCCTATATTTTGATACTTCAATTGTGACATTGTTAGGTCACTTATTTTTTTTCTCTCTCTTTCTTTCTTTCTTTTCCTCTGTGACATACTTTTTCAAAAATTGAGGGGGCTCAAGCCCCCAAGCCCAGCCGTTTAGCAGACCATGACATAAAGGCTTCTAAATAAGCACATTTTTTCGCCCGACTGTAAATTTGTCAATTTCTAATTTTCCAACAAACGCATAAAAAGGTATGACTTTATAAAAAAAAAACTGAAAAAAATTACCGGAAAATCATGTCATTCAGCAACATTTAATCACTGGTATCGAATAAGAAATATACCCCCCCCCCCCCTCTCAATCAGTACGCCAGCATTCAGGGGCTCATGTATTCTCACCCCTATAACAAAAGACAGACACGCTTTCCCATTCTCTCATATATGTCCACGATATACGCGTATCGCTATTATAAAAACCTCCATTTTAGGTGGCATGCATAATGTGCAATGTTTAGGAAATTTAATTCCCGTTAACTTTCCTTTTCTTTGAATGGAATTTTGTGTGTGATTTAATTCCGGTTTTTATTATTGTTATGTTCTTTTGGGTTAAAAAATACAAACTATCTTTACTCCTTTACTGCTTTTGTTTTTGGATGGGGTGGGGGCGTTTGTTTTTGTTTGTTTGTTGTTGTTGTTTTTTTTTTTTGGGGGGGGGGCAAAAATGCATAAATATCTTGGCTGTGTTTTAAAAGCTGTGCTATTGATTCTCAACATTTCAAACACCACTGTACAAAACCCAACTAATTTCACTAAAAATCGGTACTTTAGTGACAATTCATGACACCTAAATAGCAGTCAAATACAATTTTTTCAGATGTTAGATAGAATAATTTTAAAATGCAAATTGTGTGTCTACTACAAACTTACCACTTGCCGATCAACCGCATCGGCATGATTGTGTGTATCTGTGTGTTAGGAGAGTATTTACTATTCATGTATTTAAATGCTGCCTATTTACACGTAGTGCAGTGTTAACGGTCAATACGCATTAGCGTTGCCTTTCTATGTGGGAACAGTGGTTGTAATTGTATACAATGCAATCTGTATGTAGCCTACTCATAGAATTGGCAAATCCACACCGGTAGGGGCTGCACTTTGATCGGTGTACCAATTTCATGTAACGTGACAATGGGTTGTCTTTGTTTGCCATTACTTTTAATGTTTTCCGCCTCCACATAAAAAGGCTAATGATGATTCACTGCAAAATGTGACATTTAGCCTATATTAGCCTATCATAATATGCTGCCAATGAAAGGTCGCTAATATAAGAAGTGAACCTAATATTATGTTGGGTTTTCTTTTTAAAGCAAAAACTTAGGAACATGCATGTCTTTAGAGTGAAATGAAAAACATTAATTACCTTTGACCCAACTCTATTTGAAAGGTAGAGATTGTAATATATATTTTGTTTTAAATAGAAATATTTAGTAAATTCGATTCAATTCCTTAATTTGGCAAGCAAAATATAATCTCAGGTATAGAGACCAAACCGTACATAAGACATCATACAGTATTATATGAAACATCATAGTTCCCTCTCCTCGATGTTGATGGTTAATTTGGTCGACTATGATGCATTAGAATGATTGAAACCTCAAAAATAGCCATATCTATATCATAGGGTTTAATATGATGATGATAGGCTCAAACATTGTAATGATGGATAGAAACTAGCGTGGAATATTGTGCTTCCACCATTAACATGGAGAGAACTATTGTAACATTTGCGCGTGGGCATGAAGGCAGTGGGCAGATTAGTGTATGTGATTCAAATAATAATTTTCATACCACAAGCCAAAGGTCGGTTGATCATCCATTAAAATCCCTCATCCGTTTGTACATCCGTGTGTACATCCTGTTGTACATGATACTTGCCTTATAAAGAACTTCCTACACCCAGTAATAACTAGACCTACTATGTAACTATGTCTAGCCATACGACAAATCTGTATACTATTGAGCGTGTAACGTGTTTGTGCGCGTATTCAGGGCGAAATCTGTACAAAGATGGCTACTTCCAGCTCGGTGATTAGGAAAGGGAAGCTAGATGAATTACGACATGAGATATTGTCGTACAAACCAGGCAAGGCTGTACCTTGTGATGATGACCGAGTGGTGTTTCCTGATACGCTTGTTATTGGTATGATTAATTTGTCCGTGTTTCCGAATGCGGATAGCATAGTCCCCTCTATAGTCCCTGCCCTGAGAAGCGCTCTTTATGTAGACTCAGAACAACGCAAGCTTGCTGATGAACGTCAAACATCTACTGAGGATCAGGAGGAATATCTCACCGACGTACGTCATCAGAAGAACAGTTATCTTCGGTTTGTATATTGAAAATAAGGCCATGTTGATTTGTTTGTGTTTGTTGTAATTCAAATGAAAGCTTTTTCCTTAAAACCCTAAGGTATGATTTTGGTAAAATAAAGAATTGCATGGGAAAGTCATGTTTTGAATATTACTGAACTATTAAACGGAATGCCCCTTTGTGCTAGATAAACTAGCATTGTGAAGAATGTCTAAACACTCTAAAAATGTCGGGTTAAACAAAAGAAAAAAGAAGAAGAACAAGAAAATGTTATTTAATTGTGTTCTTCATTTTCTGTAGAAACAACAAGGCCTATGACCACGTGTCCGAAATGAGATAACGTATACCCAACTGCGTGTTTGTAAATTTGTAGTAAACAATTGATTGATTTGTTTGTTTTGTAGAAGAAATAAATTCAAGTTAATTCAATTATGGAGGTTTGACAAAACCACGCGATGATCCTATTTGAGCTTGAAATTAGCTTCATATTGGTTAGATACTACACTACATCGCAATCAATATTCCAAAATGTCATATCTATAGTCAGTCGCTTGAATTGTATAATAATATTTGCTAAATATCAGTCGTCCTTAACATTTTAAATATTTGTATATTGAGGGTATGAACCATGACTACGCCTGAGTAACCCATCACCTATTGATAAAGAATGGGAGAAATATGTGAAAACTTGCGTGATCTTAAAAAGTCATTGTTTAAACAGTAAAAAGTAACTCTTAGAATTCTTATTACATGGTACACATCAAATACATGGAGCGCAATATATCATATTTCTTTATAAAAAGAATCGAAAAAAATTCAAACGATTATGTGTTAGCCATTGATTAATTTAACATGTCAACTATCTGAAACAATTATTGGTAATGATGTGTATGTTTCACTATGACCATATACCTGACCTGCCTGATGTATTTAATTAGAAGGCTACCTAGCAGGGTAGTTTTCACGAGCATAAAAATGTGTATTGAAATCGCAGAAATAGGTATTTGGACACAGTCAATCTTCAAATACGACATTAAGATTATCAAAAGGAACTGCGAAAAATTAAATCATTTTTTTTCTTCCTCAAAAGCACATAGGGATTAAAAGCGCTATAACAAGCTTTATTTAAATTCACTTTCAATTTCATGAAGCTCAAAAAGTGATAATATATAGGTGCATTATTTCATTGAAGAGAATGATGTATTAGGCTTTTCAAACATCCTCGTTTTGTTGATGTCGTAATGGGTGTTTTATTCAGGGTTTTGGAATTGTACCATTATTGCCAGCACTGCAATTCTTACAAAATTCCCACATGACATTGTACTTATATATGACAACATAGATTCATGGATTCATCATTATTTTGGCAACCCCTTCTTAGTATGATTTCACGACTTTCAAACTCATGTAAGATTCTCTTTATGAAACGCATTAAGTTCACTGTTTATATCTTCACAAAATATTATTGTGTGGATTCATTAAATGTTATTGCACAAACAATCATTCATTTGTGTTATTCTGGCATATTGCATGCAATTTATAGAACTAAACAAGCTTGTTTATTTTGTTCTTTTTCTACTTCTGCATGTAGGCTAAATATCATGTTCTTATTATCCAAAAGGTTCATCATGCACAATGTATCAAATGCGTTCTCTTTTACCATCTTACCAGTTTTAAACGAAGAAATTGTACGAGACTTTGCTAGGAAGGTCGGATGTATGGTGCTGTTACTAACGTGAGTATTAATCTTCTCGCTCTCCATATTCACACGGGCAATACATATTTGAATGAAATCGACTACCATTTTTTGTAATCGCATGGTAATGCTGGTACGCTTTAATAGGGCTCCAGTAGATGGTGCCTTGGGAATATTTATATGGGTAAAAGAAATGTGTGTTTTTTGGAGATTGATATCAATATATAAACTGTTCATTCGCTTGTATAATAATACGGATACGTTTGGGCAGGGGGAGGGGGGGGGCTGGGGGGGGGGCAATGTGTTTGCCCCTAGCGGAATAATACTTAGATACGCCACTGTTAATCACTTTCGTCCATTCAAAAATGATTTTATAATGTTTTCCCCTACTTTTGTTAACCGAATTTGTCAGCAAGGTGCCCGAATATGTTTGATATTTTTACATCTTTAATATCGAAATTATGAAGGATTCACGGTCATAAATTACGGCGCTTGTAGGCGCGTGACATCGATATGACACCGCGGACCGAAATAAACACATTTTTTCGGTGCAATGTGGCAAGGAAAATCGGCAACATTTGTTTTCTTCTTTGAGGTGGTCTTCGTTAGGGGGCGGGTTGAGAATAAAATTGTGTTTATTTTATTATCATTACCTCTTTAATTATTACCACGTGATAATGACGATTTTGAATCTGTGCATTTTCTCATTTTTATTAGACCGTCTACTTTCGACATCTACCAAAAATGGATCAAGATAATAAAGAGCGTTATAGGTGAGTTTGCACATAATCTTTTACGCTATATAGGTAGAACGAGTATCTTTAAACAATTTTGAATAACTAAACTATTGCACTATTGACACATATGCAGTGATATAAACCACCGTATTGATTACAAGAATGGACGAATGGAGATATGAATAAATGAAAAGCATTACGAGCCAGATTATTTTCACACATGAAACTTTTGAATATAAAGGCTGGTAATTTGTATTTACATACAGTATAAAGATTTATGTTATTTGCCATGCTATTAAACGGGTAGGTACGTGTATCTAACAACAATGACACCTCCTATAGTATGTGTTTTCAACAGTTATGACTAGGATATAAAACAATTGAGGAAACAATCATAAGTCATGCAATATGACCCTAAAATCAAGTACTTGTCTTAGTTTTCTATATTATCCATTATGCATTCAAGCCCTTAATTGCACCTCATCAATTTCGATCATGATGATATCGTGAACTCTATTAACACGCCCTTCGTCAGTTCAATTTGTAAATTGAATACCCTTTTCTTTCTTTGTGCATGCATGCTGATTCTTACCTCTGTTTGTGTAGGCCTGTATTATTATATAATAGGCCCATGTGATTAAAAATTTTCATTTTCATAGTTGTAAATGTATAATATTTGAGCGCAGATGTGAATGAAAAATATACAGATTCGATCCTTACTCTGGTGTAAAAAATATACCCCCCCCCCCCTCTAACAAAAAGGGATTAGGTGACAAATGTGGGTTACATAGAGACGATCAAATGACTTCTTCGATTGAACTGATTTGTTTTCTTTTGGATAGGTCACGTCCCTATATGTGTTATGGAAACTACCGGGGATAGTAAAGTCCTCGAGAAGGCAAAAAATAAACTAAAAAAGCTCGGGGTCACTGACATCTATGACATAGCTCCCGTTGATGGCGATCTCTCAGATGAGAAACGGTTGCAGTGGCTTCACCTCCTCCATGGATGCCTAAAGAAGGGTGACGAAGGGATATCTGCTGACCTAATACAGCTTTATTCTTTACCCAGCTTTGAGCGGTTATGGAACCAAGTGAAAGAAGCACAGACGAGACACGGAGAAGAAATCAAAGAAGGAGAAGAAGCAAAGAAGTTACTCCGAGGTAGAATTACAGACTTAGAGCAGGAACTCAACGAGTCCCGTGAAAGTCGAACAAGCATAGTCAGTGAAAATGGAAGACTACAAGATACCATAAAGGTTGAACAAGAAAGGCATGAACATAGTGAAAGGGCAATGGTGGAAAACGAGAAAAGAGCAACACAGATAATGGAGACGTACAAGCAGAGGGAGATGGAATTTGAAGAGAAACTACAATCAAAGGATCTGCGTATTGAAACAATGGCTGAAAAATTACAGGGGACAGAAAAGAAGGCAAGACGTCAAGTTGAACGACTAGAGACCGAAAACGAAGAAATGATGACGAAATTAGTTTCTAAGCTAGAGGAGAAAGAGCGGAAGGAGACGACTCTAAGACAGCAAGTTGAAGAATTAAAGAAAGGAAGAGAGGGAGACAGAGCAGGAGCTGAGAAAGAGAAGCGCTCACTGGCAGCAGAAATTTATTTATTTATTTATTTATTCATGTTTTATTTATTACAATTGGTAAAACAGTGGAGGGTAGTCCGATTCAGTTAAAAGAAACTGCTTTCCAACGGAGCCCTCCACATGATACAAACAATAACATAAAACATAAGAACATAACATAAATTGAAACATCAATATAACTCAATATATAAAAACATTTATACATTTGAATACTACATGAGGCGCACGTGGGATGCACGGCGAGACCCCCCCCCCCCCCCCCCAGTAGGCCAGATTCTCGTGTGTTTTTTGTTTGTTGTTAAAGCATGTTAGAGAACTGTTTACATTGTTTCTTGAAATCGTTTAGTGACTTGCAATTTTGGACGGACAATGGCAACTTATTAAATAAAGAATTTCCGGTGAATGAAAAGGAACGTTTTTTGTATTCTGTCTTAGGGTATGGTATTTGTAGACGGTTTTGGGTGGTATGGCGAGTATTATAAACAATGGGTCGCAAAACAGACAATGGTTTCAGGTATTTTGGTGCAAAATCATTCCATATCTTATAGACTAAAATACATTTTTGATATTTAATTCTTTGTTCAACAGATTGCCAATTGAGGGTAGTTAATAAAGAACATTGTGTAGTTGAATAATCTGTATTCAAAACCAAACGAGCATATCTATTCTGCAATTTCTGTAACCGAGTTATTTTAGTTTTCGAGCAATTTCCCCATACCGTACAACAATAATCTATATATGATAATATCAATGCATAATATAACTGTTTCAGTTGTTTGTTTCGGGTCAAATGTTTGATTCTTCTAATACAAGCGATAGAACGTGAGATTTTACTAGAGATATACTGAATATGTAATGTCCAATTTAATTGAGAGTCGAGAATTACTCCAAGGTATTTAATATTGTCGACATGCTCTAAGGATGCACCTTCAAATTGAATTGTCATTTTTTTATTTTGTAATTTACGTTTATTACCAAAAGTCATAATCTTAGTCTTTTGTGGATGTAAATACATACGATTAAGTCGGAGCCATTCTGTAATTAAATTCAAATCGGACTGTAAATTTGCCTGGATACCAATCATATCATTATCGCAGTTAAAAAGAGCAGTGTCATCTGCATATAAACATATCTTTGTTTTATTATGTAAAGGTAAATTACCTATATCATTGACATAAAGACAGAAAATCAGGGGCCCAAGTATGGAACCCTGAGGGACTCCCGTCTTGACATTTAAAAAAGAACTTGTTGCTCCTGCAATTGAGACACATTGTTGCCTTTCTTTCAAATACATTTTAAACCATTGTAACTCAGAGTCTTTTATACCATAATAATACATTTTTATCGAGGATTGAATCAATTGGAATGACATCAAACGCTTTTTGTAGGTCTAAAAACAGACCCCCAGTGATCTTACCAGAGTTCATATTATCTAAAAGAAAGTCGACAATTTCTGTCAAACAGGTTGACGTCGAATGAAGAGGTCTAAAACCAGACTGGCGATCACATAATAGATCATTGTTATTTAAATAAGCATAAAGCTGTTGATGTACTGCCTTTTCTAATATTTTAGAGACTGTTGGTAAAAGCGAAATAGGTCTAAAATTTTGTGGTTCAAAAGTACCACCTTTATGAATTGGGGTTATTTTTGCTTTTTTAAACTCTTTTGGAATTTGACCTGTTTCAAGTGATTTATTAAATAATTTTGTAAGAGGCTTAGCAATATAAGAAGCAGACTTCTTCAAAATTTTCAGATGCAGTCCATCAACGCCACATGCTTTCTTAACATCAAGATGCTGCAACTCCTTAAGTACAAACTCTTCTTTTATTTCTTCGAAAACAAAACTCTTATCTGTCAAAACCAAAGTATTCATGTTATTTACATTATTTACCAAAATTTGAGCACCCTGTGCTAGATTCTGTGCAAATTCATTGAAAGCTTTATTTAAGATTTCAGCAATAGTATTTTTGTCCGTGATGAATTCATCATTTTGAATTATTTTCATTTCACTAATATTCTTTTTACTTGGCAATAAGTTTTTCAGTATGCGCCAGTTTTGACCAACATCGTTCCCGCTTTTTTCCAATTCCTTCTGATAAAACTGTTTCTTTAGTCTTCTGTTCAGACTATTTGCCTTGTTACGAAAATGCTTGAATTTTTCCCAATATTGAGACTCATTTGTTTTATAAGATTTTTTATGAAAATAATCCCGCTGTCTGGCTAACTGAATGTATTCGTCATTAATCCACGGTACCCCCGTTTGTTTCTGACGAACCGTGACATACGGGGCGTGTTTATCACTAACTTCCTGAAATGCGGCTTTAAAGTTCTGCCAAAGATGTTCCACATCGTTGTCAGATCCAGATTCTGACCAGACTATTTTATTTAAGTCTTCCTTAAAATTATGTTCGTCAAAAGTTCTAAATGATCGGAACCTGCTTATTTGAGGTTTTAGTAATGAAATATTTCCATTTATTACCAAGTAAACCAAAGAGTGATCACTGATTCCAATTGTTTGAACTCCTGATTTGAAACAAGTTATTGCATCAGAAACAAGTATTAAATCTATTAGTGTTTTACTATTGGGAGAAATACGGGTATAGTCATTGATCATTTGACGCATATTGAAATTAATACGCAATTCATTTACTCTATCCGATAAACGGTTGTTTGTCATCATATTACAATTAAAGTCACCCAAAATTATAATGTTATTTGTGATAGAAGATACATTATCCATATTTTGTTCAAGTATATTAAAGAAAAGAGCTGCATCACTGGATGGTTTTCTATATAATACTCCCACAAAATAAGAACTGCTCTGGTGCCTTTTTATTTCTAACCACATCAATTCAATCTCGTCACTTTCCAAATCTTCTCTTCTTAAGTAAGATATATTTTCCTTTATGTAGCAACCCACTCCTCCTCCAAGTGACCCTCTATGTTTACCCACAAATTTATATCCAGGCACACAACTGATTTCATTCATACATATGTCATCGTCTAACCATGTTTCGGACAAACTGAACAAATCATATTGATTACTTGTCAAAAAATACTGAACATCGATCACCTTATTTCTTAAGCTTCTGATATTAACATGGGCAATTTTCATCCCTTTTCCATATGGAAATTCACCATTCCTTGTGTCTCCTGTACCTATATTTTGATCATCTTTATCACAATTAGTATTTGCTGCAGCTGTAGATGACTCATTATTTTCATTACTAGCATTATCCCAAAATGGTAGTTCCTGTAACAAACATTTACGGCATTGCCAATCTACAAAATCCTCGAGTGGATCGTTATATTTACATAATGGGATTCGGTCACACTTAATGTGAACCCATTCCCCACATTTTGTACATGCAAGAGCTTTTTGGTTCCGTTTTACTGGCTTACTGCAACAAACACATGGATACTTAATGCCCATATCAAAACATGAAAATCAACATTAATTAAGAAAAGAAAAATATCATACCATTAAAATCTAAAAGTGTTTACAAAAATTCGCTGCAAAAGGTGCTAAAAAGCTAATTGGAGAAAATGTCAAGTGTATTAACATTACAGCTGATAAATTTCGATTCAATGCGATTCATCAAAAGGAAGCTTTTTCTATTCAAAATCAAATCAATACAAGAATAGCAGTGTAGAAGCTGAAAATTACGGCTTAAAAGTTCCGCTAATTGGTCAGCTAGTTTATACTATAAGTTCACTGAACTGTTTACAAGGAACGGAGGTCATTCTCACTCCGGATTATTCTATTTATCGTTTTTCCATTAGTGGCCGTTATTCTTGCTATAACCCGGCCATCGCTGGACCATGCTGTTTGGACATTCGTAGTCTTCTTTGCGCTGTTGAGTAGATGTAGATTATATTTTGTCAGTTGTTCCTGGATTACTACCCGAGTCCCTTTCAAACGACGACGACGAGAAATGACTGCGTAGCGAGTTCTATAGGAGACAAATTTTACAACGATCGGGCGTGGTCGCTTTTGTCCCGGTTTCCCATTTTTCTCCGCTGGCGTCTTGTTGGGGTTACCCAACCGATGCGAGCGGTCAATGTCCTGGGTGAAGATCTCCAATCCCAGTTGGTCGCGAGCGATCTTACATATTACGTCATCTGTGACTTCATTGTCCTGCTCCTGCACACCAAAGAATTGTAAACAGTTTCTACGCGAATACTGCTCTAAATCCTCATTTGATAGACGCAGATTATTAATTGCTGCTTGTTGATCCTCTACAATTGTAGAGAGGCGAGTAATCTCTTTGGCTTGTTTTCTATGTTCTACTTCAGTATCCATTAATCTCTTCTCCTGATCATTCATGCGATCAAGAAGTTTTCCAAATTCTTCTTTCACTGCCTCATGTATGATCACATTGATGGATTTAAGTAGCTCTTTGTTTTCATTTTGGAAGCGTGAGAACATGTCGTTGATGAGCTTTTTGGTGACGTCATCTACTTGGTCATTTTGTGCCGCCATGTTGGAAAGCAAATTCCAATTGACTATCAGAAAATATATGTATGTTCTCAATGATTGTAAAAAAGAGAAAATGTTGGATTCATTAACACTTCGCTCAGTATGTGAATCTATAAGTTTGGAATAGAGTTCCAACAAAGTCCGATTTGTAGACGAGTATACTCAAAGTTAAAACTGCTATTTTAACGCAGTATTAGTTTAATAAGTCATTCAGGATCATTGATAGACTATATTCATAGTATTTCAAATAAATTCAAGACATATCCGAAATAAGACAAAAGTTAGTTCGTATGTAGTATAAGCATAACCGAGACGTATGTGTAGACACTCGCATTCAGAAAACAGAGCGGAGTATATATATTATACCGGTATATTCGGAACAATGATGCTTACAGTATATGAGTCCAGTTCCCGTTGACATCAACTAACCATACGTGGGACTAGGTGGATATGACAGCAACATTCACAGGTTCTCTAGCTGTCACTCATGCAAAAGTTAGTCCTTATTTCGTCTATTTCCCGAAGATCACAATCATCCAGTTTAGTCCATATTTGTAAAAAGCTCATATCAGGTACAAAATTTCATAATCGCTGAGCCAAAGCAGAACTTTTAGCCGACTTTAGTTAGAGAGTTCGCATAGTTCGCATAGTTGGTATAGTTGGTGAAAATGACGAATATTGTACAGGAGAAAGAGCGGAACGAGACGACTCTAAGACAGCAAGTTGAAGAATTAAAGAAAGGAAGAGAGGGAGACAGAGCGCGATTTGAAAAAGAAAAACGGTCAATAGAATTAAGCTGGAAGAAGGAGCATGACTATAAGGAAGGGCTTTTGGAGCAACTTAAGCGTGAGACCTGGAAGCTGAGAACCAAAATTCAACTAGAAAGTGAGATACGATCAGCAGAGCAGAAGAAGAACGCAGAGACACATCAGTGGAGTTTCATTCCCTGGGTGGCTTCTGGAAAACAAGCTCAGAGTGGTAAGACTTTATTTTCCAATCTCAATTTCCTTTAAAAGTTTTAAAAAACAAACATTATACTATATACTTCCAATCCAATTTGGTGCTACTTTTTGAAATATGTATAATGTATAATGTGAAGCTTATCAAATCCAATATGGT